GCTGAATATTTTCCATTCCAAATGAAACACAGGAGTATAAGCAAAACATGTAGCAATAAATAAATGCAGGAAACTCCATTATGAAATTCTAAGCAGGTGGTTATGGAAGTTGTATAGAAAGATACAGCACTGACAACCACACTGAAGGGACATTTGCCTGCTCAATATCATGCATTAATGGAGAAAAATTATGAGCTGTCAAAAGTGTAGTGTTCAAAAGCTTTTTGCATGTGAATTTTTAGTGGGAAGTCCTTTGTGCATACACACACATAGACACACACACAAAAAAGTTTGGTGCCTGATACAAAGGCATCCCCAGTCCCTAGCTGAAAGAGCAACTGAGACTAAAGCAGAACAGCGGCTTCAGGAAAAATGTCTTTTATGTTTTACCCCAGTTACCACACTCTTGGAATTGTCATATACCATTAACAGAAACATCTTGTGGGGTTTTTTTTCCTTTGTTTGTTTTTGCTGCTTCCTGCCTCTCTCAGATAAACTACCGTCAAAAGCCAGAAAGTCTGAAGTTCACTGCTGTGGTTGACTCTCCAAGTTTGATTCATGCCAAAAACAGCTACCTCCAGTGCAATGATGTAAGTTTCATTCTAATGTATAACTGATCTTAACTTTTGCTGTACCATAATGCAGAAAAGAGTTGATCTTGACATTGCTTCCAGTATCATCTGCATTCAATGACTTTTGTCCCCACAGAGACTGTACAAGGCTGGAGGTTCCGAAGGCAAGCACAGGTACACCCTGCCTCCTGATCATCCTGATTTTATCCGAGCCCGCCAGAATGCACTTTACATCAGTGATGTAAGTAAACCTTCTCCTTTGGGGAGCTGACTTGGTAAACTTGTTTGGGAATAAAAGCTTTCATGTATGTAGAAGTCAAGTTCTCTGAGCCTGACCAAAACTAAAAGAAGCCAGAGGAAGTGAACAGCCAACAGGTTGCTAGGTTTGGGCTGGAGGAATCGGGAAAAGTCTGCTAATTTTCCTTTGGAGCATTCATTGAATTTTCTAGGGCAGTAAGCTATTATTAAGGATTTCAAACCTTCATAATAGATATGATTAGTTACAAATTAAAATCTTTTTGGTTTTGTTTGGGTGAGGGAGGAGGGAGAGTCCTCTTTCCTAGACTATATATTCTATCTTTCTGAAGCTGCAGCACTGTGTTGAACTGATCCCTTAGGCATAGTTGTCATCAATCTGGATGTAACTGAATCAGTGAGTGGAATTTGTTTAAAGAGAATTTGTTCCCACATTATCTCACATAGAGGAACTCAGTCTATTCCTAATGTCCTGTTTGCTGAATAAATAGCTGTTCTCTTTACCCGTAGGGTCAGAATGACCTTAGTTTGTAAGGAGCTTTGAGACAGGTGGAAGAAACAAGTAGAAATTACATTTTTGAAGTAACAGAGGAAAATGTAAAAAGGCAAATATTGTGTACAAGGGCTGCACACAAATGAAATGTCAGCCCCATTAGCAGGGTGTACAGTGATGCTTACATTGCTTCTGCCCTGGCTGGCTTGCAGGATTTCTGGCATCTCAGTTTACTTTCAAATTTATCACCACCTAGCACTACATTCACCAGTGAAACAGAAGATTATCTTAAAATGTGGAGTGGATTTTGTGCTTCTTTTCGTATGGTCACAAACCCCAGAAGGGATGAATCAAAGACTTACAAAATGCAAATGAATAAAATAAGAAAGGGACAGCCAAAAGGGTCGGCTAAGATACAATGTCTGTGTAGTAGGACCTACAGACCGGAACCTATTTTAAGAAAGCTACTAATGGAAGAAGAACCAAATCTAGAGCAATTTCTCTTCAGGATGTAAATGTGATTCACATCCTCAAAGTCACATTAAATATGTTAGAACCGGCTGTTATTCCACATGAGTTAATGAAGCCACATGTGGCTGGGGATAGAGACAAGGATCATTTGAAAAGCTTGAAATAACTGGTATTGAAATTATGATGCCAGGAAACCCAAGACACTGTGAGTGGATGTATCAAAAGAGAGAATAAGGGCAATATCAATGCAATATTGATGTGACTGATGCATCACAGTTTCTAATAGAAATTAAATCACATCAAAAACAACCACATTCAAGTACAAAAAGAAACCCTGGTGGCACTTTTCAGATGAGGCATTTTATCATTATGGTGAATAGAAAAGAAGTTGAAGTGCTATAGAACTGGATCAAAACCTTGGAGATGGTACTGATGACTCTTGATACAAATAAGCCCAGTAGGATAAAACATTTATTATTGTAGTTATGGGACTGCGTTTAAGAAACTGCAGGGGGAAATGACTGTTTTGTTCTTTTCTTTTCAACACAGAAATTGTATAAAACATCTTGGGAACAGTCAAGGGCATCTGGCTATGATTTTAGGATTGACGCCATCCCATTCCAGACAGCAAAGGCTTCAAGAGAGATTGCTAGTGATGTAAGAATTGTTCTGTTTCAAACACTTCTCAACCCTCTTCCCATGCCACCCCATCCTGTAAAAATGGGTGAAGTCTGACATGCGTGAACTTTGTTCTGGTGTGGAAAATTGGTGATCCAATGAAACAAAGTGCTGGTTAAGTGCAAAGATTTCCTACTAAAGGCTACCATTAATAATGTCCAATACCAGGCTGTTCTGTCTTATGTCCCAAGAGTTTTTCTTGGGAAGAAGACATATTATGATTTAATCAAATAAAATAGGCACTAGACTATGAATAGTTAAAGCATGGTCTAGGATAAAGTGGGTTATCTTTGAACAAAGAAGACCACAGCTGGCAAGAAAGCTAAAGATGGAGGAGCTTCATTGGTTGAACTGTGTATTGTGTGTACCCAAGAGTGCAACAGTAGGGGGATCTCTGATTACTTTTGAGAGATGAGCATTTTGGGCCCCCTAAGTCTTTCCACTTCTTTAAAAATGAGCACAAAGGTAATTCTTCTAAAGTGTCTTGTTAGATTAGGAGATGTAGTTTGATATCAAACAAACCCTTGGTCTTTGTGCACTACAGGAAGCATGACTGATAGCCAGGAGAGGATAAGTTATTTCATAACAGAATTTGAAGGTAATTTGAATGTGAAAATGAGATTTTCCTCTGCACTTCCTGCAGTACAAATACAGAGAAGCCTTCCTGAGAGACAGAGGCCAGCAGATTGGATTCCTCAGTGCAAATGATGATCCCAAAATCAGACATGTCCTCAGAGTGGGGAAACTCCAGAGCGACCTCCAGTACAGGAGTGATTATGCCCTAAACATGGCGCAGTTCCAGAGTCACCTCAACCAGCCAGGATTCCTCCATGCCAAGAGAAGCCAGCAGCTTGCAAGCAATGTTAACTACAGGCAGCCCTTGCACCAATACACCTGTGACCCTGAGCAGCTAAATGTGAAACACGCAAAGCAGGCCTATGAGCTGCAGAGTGATGTAAGTGTGGCTGAGCGTCATGGTCCTTATCAGGCCTGGGGGCTATCTGTGCAATTTCCTTTGCAAACCTTACCTGCCAACAAAATCACCTTGAAAGAACCACAGTCTGCTTGCTAAAAATGAATAATTTGTTTATTATTGACTCTGCTGCTCCTTTATAGCCTTTCTCTTGAACATCCAGGTCATGCGAATTGGTTAGAGCTCAACAAAATAATACATCCTGGTGCATGTTTCATTCTCTCAGGTAAAATACAAGTCTGACTTGAACTGGCTCAGAGGCATTGGCTGGACTCCCCCAGGTTCCCACAAAGTTGAAATGGCAAGAAGAGCTGCTGAGCTGGCATACCTTCGGGAAATGGGATTGCTGCGTGCTTCTGCTCAGTACAGACCTGTAAGTAGAGTAAACCATTCTTCTCACAAATCCCAACAGCTCTGCTCCTGACCTGCACACATCCTGTCTAACACTTTTGAATGCTCCCTGGAGTCTACAGTTCTCCCTATTATCTGAACAGGATATGTGTGCTTCCCTCATGAAACTTTGTGCCTTAGTGTACATCTGAATTTGAAGGAACCACTAAAGGGCATTCACCAGTGTCAGCAGTGTCGTGTCAGGATGTGTTTTCCCCAACTTGTGGATGATGTCAGATCTCCAAGTATCCCAGTACCTCTGAGGAAAGCAGAAGCAGAGGTAGAAGGGACTCCCTATGCAACTCCCATTCCCTTTTCCTAATTTCATCAGGATCCATGTGTTGCCATGTAATTCCGTGTTCCATGTAATCTCCACTGGCAGCCGTATTGACGGGCTGAATGTAGGTTCCTAACAGCTTAGTTTGTGCTGTGGAATGCTTTCTGCAAAGGGGCAATGCTCCAGCCTCCTCTGCCTCTGTCCAGCTCAAGGTTAAAGATATTTCAAGCAGGGATCTTCCAGGCCTTCTTTCTGCCTGCCTCCACAGGAATGAATCCCAGTCTACAGCCCCTCTTCACAAGAGAGCAAAAGTCCATGCAGGAATCTCATAGCCCTTACAGTTAAGAAGCATTCAGCCACAATAAAGGAGAAGCACTTCAAATACTTTGATTATTTAATTGTTAACTTTGGTAAGAAGTCAAGCAATAATCCAGACCAAGAGGAACAGTACATGTCCATGATTTACATTCCCATCTGAAGTTACTCAGGAAATAAGTGAAAACTATGGTTGGGTAAGGGAGGCAATGGGAACTGTAGGTAATATCTTCAGTCAAAGGTGTGATAATGGTCCCAGGGAAACCTACAGGTGTGCAATCCATCTGCAATTCAGGTGTTTGCTGTTTCCTTTTTATTTAGGGTTCAAAATAGAAACTAGGACTTGAGCACATTCAGTCCTTTGGTATGTGAGGTATCTAACTTACATGAACAGGTCCATTTTTGCACTTCTCCACAGCAGAAATTCATTCAGTGCAGAACAGTGATCTAGATTTTCCTCATAATTTTTGCCAGCTGTGTAATTTTGAATATGAAAATATTGTTATAGAATAATAGTTAAAACCCTCCCCTATCCACTGGCTGGTTTCACAATTTTTTTGGGTATGATTTTACAGGACCAGTTGGAGACAGAAGGATCTCAGCAAGTCGGAGTCAACCCTGATGCTTCAGAAATTCTTCAAGTCAAGAGAAGGCAAATGCAGCTCTACCAGAAGTAAACAGAAACATGACATAGCATAAATAGATTTTCACCTTGTCCTGCAAATTCTGTAGCTTTTCCAGTTTTCTGGGAAACATAATAGATGGCATTTAAGAATTTTTGTTTTAACAAGCAACCAAAACATTGCAATTTATAACTGATCATTTTATTTTTGTGTGGATACTTTGTGATTTACCACTGAATATATTACAGATTCTGCTATTTATTTAAAGCTGTAAATGAAATTAGTACTAGATGACTGGCAGGCTCAGCTTTGTACTACAGATGGTAGAATATGAAATAATTTGTAATGAATAAATCAGGTGACTCTTATTCCATGTTTGAATTTTTTGAGATTTTTATGTTCCTGGAATATTGGCACAATTGACCTAAGAGAGTACAAAAGCACAATTCAGGTGGTTTAAGAGATGAACGAGTCAAAGGCCAGTGGGAGAAAAGTTATCACTGACTTGCCAAAGGCAGGTCTTCTAGCAGACATCAGGGAATCTTCTAGACTATCAGGACATTCTAGACTATTCAGGCCACAATTAGTTCTTCAGTTTTTTTCAAATCTTCTAAAGTGAAAAATCAGAATTGCTCTTTGCAATGGGGGTAACTATTGACAGATTAGGCAGCTGCTTAGAGAAGGTTGTAAACCCTGGAATTCAAGTGAGAGTGACATTGCTACTTTAAGAAATTGACTCTTCAAAAACAAATCTATTCTTTATATCCTGATTTAATAGCAATCCCTTGTTTTTCAAGTTTCTGTGCAGAATCATTGGGCAAAGTTAACTCGATCTGACAGGTACATCTTATGAGAACTCTCAAATTATCCAATGGCTTTAGACAGATTTTTTTAGCAGCTTTTAGTCCTACTATGTCTCACTGGTTAAGCACATATAAACCATTGTAGATCTGGAGCATAACATGTAATTATTCTCTAGTCAGGAATAAAGTAGATAATTCTAGTACTGAAGGTTTGTTTGGTTTTTCAATCTGAAATGCATCACTAATTAAATTTGTAGTTATTTATGTACGAAAGGGCTTTTAAAAATAATTGTCCTGCCTGATCCTCCCTCCTCAGGAAATTCCAATTGCTGCAATCTTGTAAACTCAGCCACATGGCGATTCTTATGTGTGTGAAAAATGGTACTGGCTTTAAGAGCACAAATCAATAGCTTTGAGGTGTCAGGGTCCAATGAGTGCAGAAAAAACACATCTTAGACAGGAGTGTGAGGGGAAGAGGAAATGTCTGGCAGCAGCTGAGCTGGGAGAATTTTCATGGCTTGAAAAGCAGATCTAGAAACATGGTATCAGGGCCTTTGACTTGTTTGGGGAAGAAATGGAGTATCTTTGCTTTCTGATCTGTTTAGCTACAAAACGTGGGTTTATTTCAAAGCCCACAATAGAAAAACTGTCACTGACATTCTAACTAACACTCTTAAGGCTATTTTCAAGATGATGATGAAGGATGCCCCATGTAGGCCATGAGAAAATATCAGTAATATTTTTGGTCAGAGATGAGGCATTTAGAGTATTAAAAATAGTAAAACTCTCAATCTTACCATTTGTCATTCCAAAGCTCTCTCCTAATGACGTGACCTTGATGAAGACTGAATTACATCTTTAATCCAGCCGGCAAATTTTGTCACCTGGGTATAAACTCCTGGCTTGTTTTTTAACCCACATCCATCACCCCAGCTCACAAGGCCATATGTGTAGTAGGAGCCATTTTCTACACATGTCAGTGGGCCTCCAGAGTCTCCCTGATGAAGGAAAACACACATGTTCAAAATATGAAGCAAAATAGCAACTAAGGTCAGAATGCTTCTCTCTCATCACAAGACTTTGAAGCTATAATGGTGTTTTTCCCCTAACAGATGTACCATCAGATGCTGCTTAGCCCCTAAGTAGACTTACAGTTCTGTGACCAAATGATACCAAACTTTTTGGATGTAAGTTTTAGGTTTTTTTTCCAGTCTGTGACATAAATCTGACAAGGTCACATGAAATTTCTGAGTTGGGAAAGTGTCAGGAATTTAGAGTCTGAACTCAGAAAGATAAAGATGTGATCCCTGGCATAAATGAAAACTTAAGCTGTCTCTCACTCCTCAAAATAGTCTTATTCTGAGTTGCTTGGTCTCTTTTTTTTTTTGCTTTTTTATGATATATTGTTGAAAATATGATTTACTGTGGTAATTTTCACCTTAGGAAGTGTTGTTCAAACTGTTTCCTTTCAACAGTGTAAGTATAAACTTGTTTCACATTTTTGTTAGCTGTAATGAAAAGAAACATCAATACTGATTCCCTGCAAGTCTTAGCTCTGGTAGTGAAAATCAGATTTGAATTGGCACTCAAGGCAGAGGCCATGAAAAAACTGAGGAAAAAAGGAGTGAGTGTTCAGGTTACTATGACAAACTGCCTCAGAAGCCAAGCTTTCCAGGCTGGTCTCTTGATTCCACAGATCTGCCTGTGGGTGACAGGGGTGATATCAGCTCTAAGGATGTACAACTCAAAGTATACTGCAGAAAGGCTGTTGAAATACACTGAAGTGAGAGCAGATACATATGCAGCACATTGCCAAAGCTCTGCACAGCCTGATTCTTTAAACATAAAAATTAGCATTCAAATACAGAAAAGGTAACAGACAGACCTCACAAGAATCGATTCCGGGTTTCCGAAGTTTTCCTGCACAAAACATGCTATCATCCAGTGTGTTATCATGTAGTTTGGGTTCATTGCATTTCCTCTGCGAAATCAACTTTACATTGGCGTCTAACAGCTGATGGGATTGGTCATCTATGGGATGTGCACCAAAAAAATGGAGTCACTTTCTTCCCATCCCTGTTACATACTGTCTTCAAAATACGATCTTGCTTTGCAGACAGATGGGACAGGGGAAGAGCAGGGGGGATGCAAGTGCTAGCCTGGGAAGGAAATAACTATCTGGCTGAAATTATAAGTTTCCAATGATTTGGATCTGAAGTTTCACTCAGGACAGAGTTGTTGCCCAAATAAAAGTGAAGTCACGTGTTCAGAACTTGGTTCCAATCAGCTCTCTCTGTGTAATCCTGCTTTTCCAAGGTGCTGGTTGTCTGCAGCTCCCGGAGGTCCCCATGGGACTTTGAGCTGCTCAGCACTTCCCAGACTACTGGTACTATTAGATGCTTTAGCATGCAAGCTAATGAAACAGATGAAAACTGAAAATCATACAATATTTAAGGGCAATGATTAATTACAGTGAATCTAAAGACATAACGTGACATCTAAAGGCAATAGCCTTAGTTTCAAAGTACTACATCTGTAGATAATTAAAGGTGGTTTATAAGTTTGGTTCTGCTTGAGTTTCAGGAAATATTCCATTTCTGCAGTGATTTCCTGAAATGCTAATAATAGTTCTGCTCAAAGGAGGAGCCATCTAGTTCGAACACATAGAGAGTACTTGATATTCTTTTTTGGGGGGAAAAACCCATAAAATCCCCCTTAGCCTTTTTAAGGGAGACTTTTTATTTGGAAATTTAAAAAAAAACGTCCATTAAATTCTGTTGGTGCATTCTGATCAAATGAACACAATTGTCTTGTGGACTTCAGTGGGAGTTATATCATAAGGGAGAATTCAGTCCTGTGCATCATATCAGGCTGTATCAGTAACAAAGCACCAGGACACCTACTGCAGCCTCAGTGACAGGTTTTCCTTCTGCTTCACAACAACACATCAAACAGAACATGAGAAAATGCATTTTTCAGAAAATCACCATTATCTTTTTTTAAGCATAATAATTTCTCCCCTTAGGAGTTACCGTGGGCAAGAAAGGTTTTTGGATAGAGCTGGTTGAACTTGAAAAGCTTGGGATTTTTTTTTTTTTATTTTTCAGTACATCTGAAGGTCCAGATGCTGCTTCTGAAATGCTTTATCTGACCCAATGGGCTGGAAAAGCATGTGAAAATTCCTGTCTTTCTTGGTCCTGTCTTGAAACACACAAGCTATACAATAGCCTCTCTTGATACTTCCTTGCTTCTGCAACTGGCTTCAGATGAAACCATGACATGGAGGGTCAGATGGCTGGCAAAAAAAGGCATCATGCATCAGACATCTTATCAGAACTCTGACAGGTTTGGTTGGTTTAGGAGCTAGAGATTTCTGCTAATGAGTAATTTGCATGGCATGTCCTAGCTGACCTTATTTTTGAATTCCATGTCTTGGTTTCACTAGTGCCTAGGTCCTCATTTGGGTCTGGCAATGACTACTGAAAGTAGCAGCCCACCTTGCCACTGGAGTACCCACCAAAACCCAGTTAGCCCACAAATACCTGTCTCTGTCTGGCCCCATCCAGATATGAAGCAGGAAGTCCCAGCAGGAAGGAAGAAGTCAGGGACACATGCTATTTTCACATACTTTGTTTCCACTGCACAGTAACCATCAACAGGCTGCAGTTTAAGTAGTGCTGGAGAGGAGATAAACATTAACAAAAAGTATTTGGAGCTAATTTTGATCCCTAACCATTGTTAGCAGTGTGTGTGCAGCCCCATGCAAAGCAGCATGAAACCAACATTCCATTTTCCCCACCGTGCTGGATCTGTTCCCATTGTTTGACTCCTCCTGAGCGGTGACTTCTGCCTGCCCATCACAATTTACATCCCAAGATTCAAATGGGTCTAGATCACAATTTGGCAGGATTATTTCCAGAGCATAGTCTCAAAGAAAATTTTACATTGACTTTAGTAGCGGAAAAGCACTTCAAACAACAAAGGTTATAGGTGAACCACATGAGTATCAAATAAAGGATTTACCAATATCATTGTATAGGATACCACCCTTCTCTCTGTATTCGCCATGTAAAATTATTTGCACTGCATCAAATATTTGCTCATGGCGCTCTTTCTTCTTGAGGTTTTGCTTTCCAAGGGCTACTTGGATCTTAGTTTCTGGGTTTCTGGGGGAAAAAAAAAAAAGACATTAATATACTGACATTTCTTTATCAGTGGTGGTGAAAACCTGCACTTTTAGTAACAAGAAATCAAGATATTTCTTCCTGTCATAAAACTTGTCCAGAAGATTTCCTAAAATCATTATAGGAAGGCTTAGACAGGAATGCAGTGGTGCTGGAAAATACATGTGCTCTTAACTTGTAGCAATCATGAAATAAAGTGATTTAAAGCTGCATGTACATGCATTTTAGGGCAGAGTAGCAGTGTGCACACAGTCTATTACTGTGGCAGTGATGACGAGTGGCAGCTCATGTAGCCATGGGAATAGAGCTGCTTGCCATTTTCTGAGAATATTTAAAATCATCTGTGTTGAAATTATTCCCAGTGTGTAATTTACTTGTTTCCTAGGGTGGTGGTTTCCAACTGATTCAATGCAATTGTTGGAGGAAATGTAATATTCTAAGCTAGCTGACACAGAAAAAAAATAAAGCTAAGAGGATATTTTGACTGTTTTGAAGAACTTAATTCTGATGTAATGTGCAATGTTGTTTATGGCATCCCAATATCCCCTGAGTTTTTCATAGAGTTCTTTTACATATTCCAAAATCTTGCTACTTTCCTCCTTTTTTTCCTCTCACCCAACTTCTTTAGCTCATTTTATTAGAGTGGAGCCTAAGTTTGTCATTTCAGCAGGCATCATTTTCAAGTATATAAACAGTTTTATGTATGTGTTCATTTCTCTTTCAGTCCATATATATTTTCCTTTCAATTTGACTCCTGGCAGTCATTTTGATTGCAAATAATTTTGATACCAAGCTGCCTTTACTAACCATCCTGATTTTTATACATTTATCTACCCTAATGATAGGACATGCACCTACTCAAGGCAGTGTGCAGCAGTAAGAACCCAGCACGATTTAATTAGCACTCCACCACAGAAATGTTCATTCCCATTTGGAGTCTGTCTCTGTAGAGATGCCATCCAGGGATGTTTTCCAGCTGTAGCCTTGGATCCACCATAGATCTTCTTGACTGTCCTATGAACTTCAGGTTGTCCACATGTTTGGAATATTTCAGGGGGGTCTGTAGGGGGTTCTGTTGGGGTCTCTTCAGCTGCATTGGAAGAGACAGCAGATGTATAATGCAGAGTTAATATCAGACTGGAAGAGTTAAGAAACAGGGAGTCACCTGCTGCGCTAGACACCCTACAGGCTGTCAAATCACTTGCTTCTAATTCTTTACCTGAGCAGGGTGAAACATCACAATATTCCCACTCTATTTCCTCATTTTTTCTGATGTAGCACCAGGGTCTTTCATCCTCATCAGGATTCCTGAGGGGAACAGTTGAGAGAATCAGCAAGTGGGAATGGGGAAATCTCCATGAAACCAGTGGAGAAGCTGAGGATTCTTAGAAAGAAGCCACATGCTCCCATATAGGAGATGAACTTCCAAAGATAATATTTCATAAGATTTGACAAAGAAGATGCCTGAGCAAGGAATAAAATACTGCCATATTACTATTCCCATACCTATCTTTGCCATAAGAAAAAAGTGGGATTGGTTCAAAACAAAGAGGGCAGCCTCTGGAAGCCTCACATCAGCATGGTTAGAGAAGACATCTGTAACATCCTGGTGCTTTATGGGCAGGCAGTGTCTAGAAAGATGTAAGATCTTAAGACCATCAGTTTCTCAAATTCATGAGCAGTTTGTCCTCAGGGATCTCTTTGATACAGAGCTCTACAGCTGCTTCTTCAAAATATTACCTGCAGAAGTTGTGATCACCAATGCCATATGAGTCAGCATCCTCCATAAAGGCATTAAAAGGTTGGTCCAAGAGATGGTGGGAATTCCAGTGCAGGCAGGTCCTGCCATTTTCTGCTTGGTTCATTCTTCCTCTATATGTAGAGGAGTCCTCTTCATAACAATCATATGGTCCTGTAGAAAAACAATGCTCATATGAAAATGACTTTTGTGTTGCTTCTTGCTCAAAGTGGTTCCTCTTTCAAATACAGAAAAAGGACTCTTCCTTATCCTACATTTATTTTATGGAGGATCAGAAGAACCTTCTGGGCCAAGTAGTTATGTTCCTTATTGTACACAGGCCAGAAATTAGAGTAATGTTCAAACATCTGTCCACCTTCTAGACTGATTGATTTCAAATTCCACCCATCAGAAGCAGTCCCCTCAACCTGGGGAGTCACAAGCAACTGGGCAGGCATCTTTACTACATCAGATTTTGAATGTTTAAGGTAAACTCAACATTTCTTCCCTTTGTGACATGTGTGACCTCTGGGAAATGTACACACACTTATTATATACCAGTGGGACCTTGTGAAAGCACACTTAGGAAACAGCAAGATGGGCACTGTTTCAAGTCCCTCTTCCAGCAGTGGCTGCAGAAGTCAGCCTCTTCCTCTGACCCACTCTCCAAGGAGGCTGCTGTCCCGGTGTAGTCAGGTTCTTGGAGCAGTGACAGAAAGTCACCTAGGATGCTACAGGAATAGCATCAGGTAGTCTGGCTGCAAGGGGAAGCCAGCCCTCTGCTGTCTGGAGGTTCACCCCTCCCCCTGCAGAGCTGAGACGTACCGATCTCGCAGAATCTCCCTCTGAACTGTTCAGGGCACTTGCAGGTGAATTTTGATCTGTATCTGTTTCGAATGCAGGTGCCTCCATTTTTGCAAGGGTTTGGACTGCACTGTTTGGATGCTGTCAATGTGGAAAACACAGAAGAGCCCTGTCAATGTGCTGATCCCTACACAGCCACTCGCATGCCCAGTGGAAACTGGGGAGACCTCCCACTCAGCCTGTTGGCTTTGAATTCTCATGAAATCTTGTAAAATGCATATCTCTGGGGGTTTTACCAGTGACTGAACCACTTGATTTGCACCACCCTGCAAATCAAGCATAGCTCAGCAGTATCCAGGCCCAGGGATGGGAGCTGCAGCATGTCTAGGGCAGGATCACCCTCTGCAGTAGGTGATTTCCCACTGCAGACTGGCCATGGTGCTGTCCCCACCCAATTTGTGCCCAGCTGAGTGCTCACCATGCTGACAGGAGGGTTTCTTGTAGGGAGGCTTGCAGCTGCACTTGAAATAGGGTGGGGTTAATATAATCAGGCAGTCACCAAAGTGGCAGTTCTTCTCCAGACACGTGTCCTCCACTGTAGAAAATACACATAAAGTACATCATCAGCATTTGTGTGTGCATAAGAGGGTCCTTGCAGGGATCGTGGGCAGATGCATTCCCTTGACACTCCAAGGGTGCTTTCATTTGGCAGATGTGGACTTGGGATCTCACTTCTTGTTCACAGTATCTATGGCAAAAAAGCATCTCCCCACTGCCCACCTTGCAGGGCACTCTCTGCACTCTTGAAATTTATTTTACTGGATACTCTTTAGGCAGACTTTGGCCTAGACGATGTCCTAAGAACTATGGACATGACTGCTGTGTCAAGTGCTGTCAGAACACTCAGCTCAGCAAACAGTGGGTTTATAAAGTTGCAACAGTAGCCAAAATTAGGAGTGTATGTTAGCAGAAGAGCCATTACCTTTATCACATGTAGCCCCACCGTATGGTGCGGGGCAGTGACAGCTGAAGTCACTTCCTTTGGCCTCACACGTACCACCATTCTTGCAGGGGTTGGGGAAGCATGAGTCTGCAGAGGTAAGGATGGAGATCATTCAGCTTCTCAACCTTCATCACCCGCTTTTTCTTCTTGCATTTTGTGGTTGCAGGAGTCTGTCTTCCTGGGCACAGCATCCTGTGTAACAAGTGCTGGGCTTACCTCAGCACCCACAGGAGCAGTATGAGTTGCTGCAGAGTTTATTCCAAGCTGAAGTGGCTCAAAGCTTTGGGTCTAGAGGTCCTCTAGTCCCCTTGCCCTGTTACAGAGTTGTAATGAGGCGAGTGTCTCCCTTTGATCAGAGATAGATTTGCCTCTGTGGCATTGCCTTTGGTTGTCTGCCATCATGCACTGAATCTGCAGTGATGTGGATTTGGCCTTGTCCTGTTTGGAACACAGCATTAAATCTCCCCTGGAAAAGCCATCCACTGCCATTAGACTCTACCATAACCCTGGGTGGCTGTTGCCTCAAGGGAGCTGACACCTGCTGAAAGTCATTCATGTGCTGCTCCTTACACTGTGCTCAACATCTCCACTGCAGTCCAGGCTGCCAGGAGCAATTGGTACTGGAGACAGCCAAGAGTCAGCTCTGCTTGCTTTGTACCAGGGGATAACTCAGGAATGTTACAGGCAACTTCCCTGCCCTTCCTTTTGAGTCCCCTGGGCAATCTCAAGGATCCTTTCCTGTTCTCCTGAAGTTTGGCAAAACAAAAAAAGAAAAGGAAATGAAACCCCTGCAACTGATAAAAGAAGAAAAAAAATAAAAAAGAAACCTGCTCTACATTTGGTTCCTAGCATAAATACAGAACATATATCCCATGAAAAACAGCAATTACATCTTACAGTGTCTATAGACAAATAAGCCTGTGCTTTTTTTTGTAGTAGCAATCAGAAATGTTCTGCATGATCAGAATCCATCCTGTGAAACCTGGAGATAAAACACAGGATCCTTACAAGAGAAATACAAAGAAGAACACTGCAAATGATCCTCCTAACTCATTCCTTTGATGCAGGCATTTTGAGAGCAGGCTGGCAGCCAGGCCTGCCACGCTCATGCTTCAAGCACAGGGTTGGGATTTTACCCCTTCCTTGCCTTTCTGCCCACCCCTGAGAGGTACCTTTCATGACAAAGAAGTCACCTAAAGATGTCTCGAACCAGCTAATTTCCTCCGAGAGCTCCTGCTGGAGTTTGGTGTCCTGCTCTGGTTCTATATAGTAGTAGTTCTCATAGTCATCAGCCTCATCTGCAGGGAAGGATGAGAAGAGAGTGAAAGAACAGAGGAATTAAAACTGGAAAGAGACAAGTTATGAAAGAAGTTATTCCTGAGATGGACAGTACATTTCCCTTTCAGTTTATTTGGGATGTCAGTGGGTTTAGGGACCATCTTGAGGACCAAAGATGCTGTTCAACTCTTCCTTGGCATAGGCAGAGCTCACCTAGTGCTCAGCATGGCCACCCTGAGCACAGCTGGCTCCAGTGGTGCATCCCCTCGAGGGTGGCACTGGGGCTCTGGCTGCCTAGCTGACTCCTGTAGGGACAGCCAGGATGCCCCAGAGGGGATGCAGGCCAGGGCTCCCCAGCAAAAGGCACAAGGAGCCCCCCAGACAGGGTAGATGCTGAGGCTGGTACCAGCACAAAAAGAGATTCAGGTTCCTATAGGAAGAAAGGATTTTCTTTGTCCAGCAGCTTTGCTGACCACTGCCACCGCTGCTGCAGGATGAGGCAGGGCCCTCCGCAGCACAGGGGCCCCTCTGTGTGCGGGGACACAGAATCCCATCTCGAGAGCAATTGCGGGGAACAGAGGCACCTGCAGGACTTTGTGACTTCTCACCCACACAACAGCCTTCGAGGAGCAAGGGTCCAGCCCTGCAGACACGTGCTGAGGAGCCCAGCCCTGCCTGTGCCGGCCCGCGGCCTACAGGAGCCAGTGCCTCACGGAGCCCGCAGGGAGCGTGGCTTCGCCAGCCATGCCAGGGGTTGTTTGCTTAAAGTGGACTGGCAGCTCCTTGCACAGGTACAACTCTTGCCAGTGGAAGCCACTCCAGTGTTTCAAAGACAAACTATGGTAATGAGCAAAGCTAAGCTACGTACAGAGACATTTTATAAAGCTCTCCTCTAGGGCTGGGCTGATGGCCCCATGGATAATGCTCTGCCTTGAACTGATTATCAACTGCATTATCTTAGTTTTCTCTCCTCATTCATTCACTTGCAGCCTTTATCTTTATTCTTTCTTTGCTTTTGAAAAAAGAAAGAAATTCCACGTTTGTACAATGGGTGTTTTATATTTCATATTAAAATAGAACCGTCTTTTTTTCCTTTTTTTTTTTTACATGCCAACTGTAGTTTCTCACAAAAAAAAAAAAATAGAGTAAAGTTTCACCTCATTTATTGCTATGTCAAGTCAAGACTCCTTTTCCTCAGCTCATTATTTCCACAGGAGCCGAGTCTCGACTATGTGCAAGTGTTGCAGAAGTATACGCCTTGCTGAGGAACAGAAGGATCTTGCTGAAAGATAAGGACATTGTCTACACTGAACAAAATTAAATTTAATGTGATGTAGTTAAGGAAGAAAAACAAAAAGGAAGTTTTGCCTGAAATGCATCCTCCAAGTTCACTTTGTTGGAGAGAAGATTTTGCAAACGACTTGAGGTTGAGGGAACTGACTGAAGTAGTCTGACTTTGTATCCCCTGTTTATTTTCAGAATCCTAGAGGGGCATGCTGGCTTTTATTCCACAGATACTCTCTGAAGGATAGGGTATTCCTTTTTATGAAAAATATACCTGCTAAAAGTTATGAAGGATGAACAGGGAAGTGATGGCTGCGAAAGGCGGACTGCAAATATGCCAACATGCTTTACAGAGGCTGGTGAGGATTCTTCTGAAGCAACAGAGGAAAAATAAATGCCCTGAATGAGTGCAAATTGCTAAGCCATTGTGGAATCATCTACTCTGGTTTTTAAACAGACTGCTTAGTGTGTGCTGTTTAAAATGATGCTACTGTCACTTGATTTTTATTTGGCATGATTTCTCAGCAACAGATTAATCATTTATTAAGAACACTTATATAATTACTTGACATGTTATGAACTATTTTTAAGTTCAGCTCTTCTGCAAACAAGATGGCCAAGAGGTAATTTGCATTTTGCAAGACATGCTTCTGGTGGCTCTGAGAGGTTTGCAGGCACAATCTCCCATGTGCACCGAAGGGGCAGTTTTGGGGGGGCTATTGCACACCCGAGGCCAGTTTGGAGCCCAGCAGCCCTCAAAGAGGGCAACTTCAGGTAACCAGGGCTGAGGTAAAGCAGGAAATCCTGAGAAATCTCAAGGGCTGGCAATTACCATTTCAAGAAATTTAATTGCCAAGGCATGGAGTTAAGTGTGCATGTGGAAAGAGCTCAGAAGACATCAGCAAACTCTATTGGGTACCCTGTCCCCCATGTGGATATGGGAGACAGGAAGCTGAGGTTACTGGCCAGGAGACCAGTCAAGGTGATGTAAGAGTGCAACAGATCTGAGAAATGACCAGCATCCCTGCTTTTCCCATTCATTCCCTCTTCATGAAACTGAGAAACAGATACAGCTCCTACAGGTCACATGAGTGATGTTTCCCATCTCCCAGCTATTCCATGTCATCTCCAGCTGCATGAAGCAGTGAAAAACAAAGACCAGAAAACTCTCACTGGGGCATATGATATCAAACTAAAAGATGTCTTCATATTTATCACTGTTTTGACACTAAATAACTATTTGGCTTCCACATCTCTTATTTAAGAAGTGCTCCCATTCCCATTTTTTAAATTATTCATAACAAGGCCTAGGTTTAGTAAAGCAAAAACAACACTTTTTTATCTGAGCACATAATTAAAGCACAAAGTCTGATACACTGGTTGATTTAAACATATTACTAAATCAGAGTGTTCGTTCTTTGTAAGTGCTGGAAAACCTTAACATGCTTAAAAAAAGCAGTGATCTGACATTTGTCACTGAAATGTGACTATTACATGAAATTAAATTAGACATCCTGCATGCAAATTTTCAAAGAATAACTTTCCCCTGTGTAGTACAAAAAATCCCCCCATAATTGATAGACAGAGATTGACTTTTAAAGCTTCAAATCAGCTTTGAGGTCTGGGTGATCTTTTAAACTGCACAAGCTTTCATCTGCAGTTTTTCACATTGCCAAGAGCTGTCAATCAAGCAATGGATTTCTGATCAATATCCCCTTGTTCATTAGCTTACACTGGCTCTCTGTTACGGAGAGAACAGATACCCCAATGCCGACAGTCACACTGTTTTCAAAACCTTTCCTGGATCAAGTGATGACTAATGTTCCAAGTGGGAAAGTGATGCATTAGGATGCCATCGGGTGACCTGAATTGCGAGGTAACTTTGTTGGACTGCAGTTGTCAAGATGAGTGATGTGCAGAGTTAAAGCCTATTGCCAACACACATCAAGAGTGCCAGAAAGTACCCAGCATTTATTCAAGCTCTCTGATCCTCTGGAGACTGACTGAAATCTGGCCTAATTTAAGCAGGATGAGTTTTCCTACCACCCCCTTAAATACTTTTTGTCCCCAGCTCTGAGATTATTGCAGTGTTATTTTTATGAGGCTGAAATCCTGACTGTATTTTAAATAATGAGATATTCCCCATTTACTTCTGCAGAGATGAGACCTCACAGTATTTCTTCCCTTCCAAGCGGGCTGTGGCTGGGAGTAGCTGCAGCTTCAGAAGGAAGGGAGACCAGCTAACAACAAAGCCAGAAAGCCTTTCAAATAGTTTTGTGGCTGTTACTTAAAAGCAGTTTTGCAGCACTTTTTTCCTTAGAGGGATGGATGCGGGGTGAAGGGGAATCGTGATGGCTGAAGGAGTGGAGACTTTAAGGGGGATGGGGAGTAGGAGATTATAGGAACAGTGGAGGGACAGATGTAAAGACCATATACCATAAGGCAGGAAATGAATTAAGAAATTGTGAAAGGGGTAAGCCATCAAAAGGCAGATCAACCAGTTTGCCCACCAGCACAAGGCTGTGTAAACAGGTGTGTAAACCCTGAATCAAGTGCAAGACTGTGGCCAAATATTGGCAGAACCCAAATACTGAGCTCAGACACAAAAATGATTTGGAAATTTGTTTTCTACACACAAGTTGTTAGGGCAGCAGTATTGATTTGGGCACTGCTGTATGAGCGACAAGATTTCTGGTTTGACCTGAAAGCCCAAATACCACTGGAATGAACAGGACACCAGGTGAATAATGAGTTCATACTAAAGTCCACCTTATTCTTTTGCGGGAAAATGAGCAAAATTATTGTAATATATCATTAAATACACATTATAAACTCAGGTCTAAGAGTCATTGAAATCAAGAAAAGAAAGAGCAGGGCTTACCTGCAAAACTACTAAACATCAATAAAACCATAATCTTCTACATGGACCATGTAGGCTGTGAAAGGAATACAAATCCTCACACATCCTACACATCCTCACACAATATTCATCACAGCTTTTCCCTTATCAACATCTTAATGTGACGCAGCCTTTAACGATTTTTTACTTGCATGGGCTTGTTTTTGAATATTCTAGCACTTGGGACAAAGCCTTGCAGATATAAGTTCTACAGTTTAGTTGCATGGTGCAAGGGAAAATCTGCCTTCATTTATTTGACCTCTAGTTTTCATCCCCAGCTAGGCTCTTTGCTTATCCTTCTGTGAGGTTTGCAGCCCAGCACCATGACCTCTCCTCCAGACCATGGCCCACTGTGTCCCCCACGGGTCCCCAAAGCACATGAAGGCGGAGAGTGGCAGAAAAGTCCTGGCTAGGAACAGAATTGAGAGTTCCAGGTGTGGTCCAGGAGAACCCTGTGATCAGATTTACATTGGTACTGCTGTGGCACCTCTGTTTATGGCTCCAGTATGTCAGACACATTCCTGCTGGGACATGATGCAGCGTTGTCTCCTGCACTGACACAGCACACATGGAGGTCCGAAAGCACTCACCACATTACTTGTCCAAAGTCAGACTTTCTACTATATCATAGGCCATAGTTTAAACTCAGCAAGGTTCTCCATGAAGTTAATACAATTCAGCACAAATTAATTCAGTTAACTAATTCAGTTAACTAATTTAATTTATTCATTAACTAATTCAGCCACAATGAAGTACATTGCCAGTCTTTCAGTTTTGTGGCAGGCAGAAGCTGAAATGAAGAAACTGAAACCACTTACCTTTCATCATGTTGGCCCAGAAGGAAAAATGGGAGGCCTGCATGAGATAATAAAAGTCAGAGAGTCATTTTCTGGCAAAAACAAAAGCCAGCATAGAGCTTTGCTTACAGTACAAAGATTCTGTTTGCCCCTAGTGCTGGACATCCAGATAAGCTCCCACTTTGGAGCTAACTAACCTAGATTTTAAGAGCTCTTTGAAAAGAGAACAAATTGTCAACAGGCCATGGGAGCAGTCTGGATTTTCTGAGCATACAGCCTAAGTTGCTAGGCTGGTCTGATTTGGGGAAAACCTGACCTGAAGGAGTTGTCTCTTTGTTTATAGGTGATGGCACTCTGGCTATCTGTCCAGCTTCTCAGAGATGCTGACAGAGGCCACGCTCCAGCTGGCTGCTAAAGCCAGAGGCTGGGAGATGCCTATGCACAGCAGAGTGCAGCATGGCCCAGAACCTTACACCTGGTGCACCCTGTGGAACCTGGACCCCTGAGCTGGAAGGCTGTTAACAATCTTTGGATGTAGGAGAATATTTCTGGCACTCCCCAGGAGGAAATGCCACGTGTCCCACCTCCAACGTGGGGCTCCAGCCTTTCCTGTTTGGCTCATGATCAAGGGCAAGCAACAAAAGGGAACAGAGGAAGACAGAAAACAGTTCTTATCCTTTGAAGAGTGTGAGCGAGGTTTGTCTGAAAGGGAAGGCACTGACTCTACACCAGGGCGCATCCCCAGTGTGACAATTTCTGTTTGCTTTCCCTCTTGCTCTAAATCCCAGCTGAGAACAGGATTACCCGCCTGCAGTGAGGATACACATGCTAACAGTGGGTGTAAAGGAGATTTGAAGATGCTATTCTTCATCCCTCACATAATTTAGGGAATAAAATGTATTTCCAAACAATTTAACACACATACAAATAAAGACAGCATATATACACACGCAATTATTATGTGCACCTATGCATTGCTACAGATACAATTAACTGTAAATATATGCCCTGTTTACTCACACATTATATATAGAAGAAAGACATTCTCAGATAACGCTGGTTGAGACTAAGTACAAATGAATCAGAAGCAATGAATAAGAAACAGGACAAAATAAAAAGCACAGAATTCACATTTGTGAATATTATCTGGAATATATAAATGAGCTTTTGCTTCAGGCATGTTTGCGTCCCTCTTGTGTTTGAGCCAGGGAGAACAGACACTCCAGTTCTCCCCTTCCCCACTGACTTTAATGAGAGCAATGTCCCCTGAACCGCTCAGCAGAGCCCTTTCCCAGGTGCATTTGAGTGAGCCACACACATACAGAACTAAATCCTTTGCAGCTGGAAGGACACACATCCTCACACAATTGCCCCTCCTGAATGAGTGCGGAGATGATGGTAAATGAGAAGGCTGTAAAAGCTCTGTCCTTGGTGTATATGTTTCTTGAGTGCAGGTACAGCATTCGTCAGATCCTTTGCCAGACCCCAGCAGAGACTATATAAAGCAAAGGTCTAATTGCTCCATTTACAATTAGTGGTAGTGTTCATCCATAAACACAGACCAAAACATTCTCTGCAAATGTACTCCTTTCTTTTGGAGAAACAGATTAAACAAAGAACAAGGAAGCAGCACTGGGAGCAGGATGATGCAAGAAACATTTCATCTCACTCTCCAGCTCTCTGTGCTGCCCTTTTGTGGTGTTTGCCTTATGGACTGGAAAGGGTTTGGGTCTGAAAGGTTTGACTGAGTGGGTTTGCCCCTGCACTTGGGGCAGCCCTTGGCACCCCAGGGAATGCCCGAGGGTTTCAGCCCAGACTGAGGTGCACCAGGCTGTTCTGTACCTCAGTTTCCCCAGCTGTAGGGTGGAGATGACAGTCTCACAATGCTCATACCCCAAGGAAATAGGAAAGATGAGAGATGCAGCATTCTGCTACATTACTTTCTCTCCCAGGTTATCAAACTGCCACTCTGTCCAAACATGAGTAGAGCTGACCACAAAAAGGCAGGTACCCTAAACTCCCCCTTGCAATAAAGTGGTGCCCTCAGCAATGTGCAGGTCTACAGTATCATCCTTCAGAGCAGGCAATGGCTTCGTGGCTGGTGAGTGAGTCCCAGATTTTGATTCCTGCTTTTGGATGAAAGCCTCTGTCTGCTGCCACAGTATAAATATTACTGGGAACAAAAGCTTCTGGAGCACCCAGCATAGAGAGCCCAGGAGTTAAATGCAATCTTTACTGTAAGGCTCCTGTATCTCCTTTTGTGCTGCAGCTCTCCCTCGTGTGCCTGTCACAAGCTGCAGCAGCAGAACCACAGGGGACAAAACCTCTGGTAGAGCTGACTTCTCAGCATGGAGGGTTTTCTCCTCTGTCCTCAGGTCCCCTGGACTACTCACCAGACCGCACTGGTTTTGAAGCATTTTCACCCCTGCTAGGAAGCAGAGGGCCAAATTTTAGCTTTTTGACTCATGGAATGAATCTTTCTATGGTGGTGTGCAGCAGAGGAGGAGGAAGAGCTCACTCCTTCCCTCCTGTGTGCTGGAGCTCTCCCCATCATCCCTTCCAGGAGAGGATGCGGGATGCAGGATGCTGGATGTGGGATGCAGGATGTGGGATGCAGGAGGTGGGATGCAGGAGGTGGGATGCAGGAGGTGGGATGCAGGATGTTAGACATGGGTACAGAAGAAGGATATCAGGAGGGGTGCAGAGGGTGGGGGGTCCAGGAGGGGGCTGCAGGAGGGAGCGCAGGCAGGGGCAGGGGAGGCAGGGCCTCCCGCCTGCAGTGCCGTATTGCTAGTGGCCAGCAGAGGAGGATCTTGTCCTTCCGACGAGGTGCAACACTGAGCCCAACGAGGAGCAGGATTTGAACAAAAGGAAGGGGGGCGGGGGGAGAAGAAATTAGGCTGTGGGGTTGGTTTCACCAAACTCCTTCTCCTTGCTGCAGCTCGACACCGATACTTTGTGTGCTCTCTCACAAGGGAATAAAATCACTGGATTCTGTTCATAGCAGTTCTGCAGCAATGAGGGACAGAGCTGGAAGAATTTGCAGAGAGCAATCTTAAATTTTATTACTTCAGGCTCATAAAAAAGAAACCCTGCCAAATAAAAGATAAAAGAAATAAGAAAATAAAAGCTAGGAGGGACATTCTACATGAGTACCAGTGTACCACTGACTATGGAGCCAGCTACATCTATAGGGCTCCTAGAAAAAAATTATGAAATTCAAAATATCCAAATTTCACCTGACCTTAGTTGTGTTTTGTCACTGTAATGATTAGCACTTCACTAAAACTTAATTCCTCCAAAGAACCTTCAAAATTTTGCTAAATAGATTTTGTACTGATATTAAACATTGCAGATACATGATGCACTCAATTTTTTAATTTCAACTCCTTCAGAAAGAGAGACTAATGAAATGTAATAGATTTCAAACAGGAATGACAGAACCATGAGCTTTCTTTATCTCAGGGTGGAATCCTATGGCTCTTTATCAGACAAAAATGTCCAGTTAATCTGTAGCAATTCTTTCTGAATAAACCCAGGAAGATCTGACCCCAGATTCAAGGGAAATTATTTACAACTGCCAAGGGCATTTGCATCTGATCCGTTTATTGTGTCTTGGGTGCATTGCTACCTCTTACTACAATAAAAATGAATCACTAAAACACAAAAGCAGGTGGAGAAAGAGAGCAAAAAGGTGACAGCCCAGGGTTATGTTGTGAATTTACATGTGTGCAAAACAGACTTCCAGAGAAAACAGTGTAATTACTCAAGCTTGCATGACGGAGTAGCAGGAAAGATTAAAATTAGCTCTATAGATACACACACACTGCAACAAAGCACTACAGGAATTTCAGTATTAAACTGTATTGGTAGGAATTGGCTTATTCACTCAAGTGCATTAAGTCCTGCAAATTCTCCTGCAACTTGAAGTGGCCTCTGAGCAGAAAAACAAAGAGTATGCTTTCATTTGTTCATCTGTGCAGTCACAGCTTTGCAGCCAAGAAGGCGGTGGGATGGGGTTGAACTGGAGAATGAAGATGGATATTTGATCAACTTCCATCCACAAGTGACACAAGCCATGAAGGAGCCATGAGGGCAGACACAGCTACTGCCTTCTCATAGTGAACCCCTTGATCCTGCTGACAGCTCTCAGTAGGAACCTTTGTCTGGGCTGCTTGCCAAAGGAGGAGGGAATCGACAGTTCTGATGCTCTTACAATCGGCCAGATTTTTGCCTGCAACCATCTTGGGTAGTGACAGTCTTTGAACTTCAAGGGTAAGTGGCTTTTCCAGCAATGACATTGTGTTTCTCAGCCAAGGCCATGGTTGCAGTATAATGAAAGAAGGGCATATTATCATCTGGAGCACACATGCAACACATGTTGTGTTTTTAGCTTGGGAAAACATTGTCTGAAAGGATTCCACCAAAACCTCTGAGTTCTTCACTTCTCTGCTGACAAGACATCTCCTGTCTCTACACTGAACTGCAATTTGTTCACCAGAGTAAATGATGTGTTCCTTATCAACCAGTCCCAGAGTACCCAGAGAAGTTCACACTTAAATCTTTATTTTGCTGATTATTTAGTGGTGAACCTTTCCCATGGTAGCTCCTGATACAAAACCCACAGGGATCCAGGAAAAAAAGCAAGATCCTTCAGAGGTACTGCTGAGACCATCTTGGTCCTCTGCTCAGGAGCTACCTGCTCCTGTTTTCTAAGAAATCAAAGTTTCCAAATTAATCTTTGCTCTGTAAGAGGTGGCCTGGCAGCAGCTGGGTGTTTTTAAAGCTCACTGGTGGCTGAAATGTGCTCATGCTCCCAGGTGGAAAATGGGGTCAGCCTTGGATGCCGCAGCACAGGGAAGGTACAAAACATGTTTCAGGCTGCCGGAGCCAGCTAGTCACACTAACACGAGTGCCTGTGCTATCAAACGCTCCTGTAGCCAGTACTGGGAATGCAGGTTATACTGCTAGACTTAAAGCTTATGCAAAGTCATTAAGTCCCTTTAGTTCCAGGGGATATCAACCTGCACGCTGCAGGGCATAAGCTGATTGCCTTCGGGGGTCAGTGAGGAACGCTTCCCTCTCTGAGAGCACGGTGCAAAATTAGCTGGGGGCGCTCCCAGGGCTTTGTTGCTTTCCTGCTGCATCAGGCAAATTTAGGTGAGCACTGTGGCAGGGCATTACACCTGATGGGCCACAAATCCAGGCGGGCTTGGCAGCATTTGCTTCTCTTCGCAGCGATCGGTGCGCAGCACAGCGGAGCGTGAAGCCCCGGTGTGCGTGGTGCAGCCCTGCGGTGACAGTGAGGGAGCAGAAGTGGGAGTTTACAACAGCAATGGATCCATTGGGGTTTAGAAAAAGATGTCAGACAGAGGCAACTTTGGTACACCCTAAAATGTTGGACTCCAAGCACCTGAGGCAAGGAAGGACCTGAACTGATGGCAACAGTATCCTGCTTGCTGTGGGCCAAGAGGGAGATAGGCCCTTATGATAAGGGTTTCTTTTTTGCAATTGTTTGATTTTAATGTGATACTTCTAACCTTCCCGTTCCATTACTAAGTGCACTTGGTTACTGGATTGGGCAAGGCTTTCCATCACAACTAAGTGGACATCAATTTTCTAAAGTTCCAAAGTATCCAGTGAAGAGCCACCTCTGCTACCCTGACCCTTGCAAGTCTTCCTCCCTGCTGCTGGGGAAGTTGAGTTTGCAGCGATATCTGATACAAAGAAAAGGCCTGATCTGAACACCTGTAGATTTAAAAATAACATTTTTTTCCTGTGAACATGTGCTGAATCACTTTAGAGCACTGTTAGGTGGGAGCTGCAGCCTGGTGTAGGGGAAGGGCTGTGACAGCACTGGAATGTTGTGGGATCCAACTTTCTATTGTCCTGTTCCAGATTTCTCTAGCCCAGCTCAGCACAGCATTTAAGCATATCATTTAAATCTGAGTGCATTCCAGAAAAACTGCTTCAGTACAAGTCTGGATAACTGAGGATATACAGCTCAGTTGCAGCAGTGTTCTTTGGCTTTCTCTTTGACTAATCAAAGAATATTTAGCAATACCTTGATGGCAGGCACATTTCTACTACAGTATCTTGCTAAGCAGAAGTGAAATGGAAAGTGGGGGAAAAGAAACCCAACCCAAGAAGACCTGCCATGTCTGAAGACAATCTTTGGTGCAGTTGTTCACACATGCTAAAGGACCAAATTCAGTGCTCACTGTGCAGCTTGATGCCTTTTAGGGAAATAGCTTGGATTCATGCAGATGGAATTAGTTTATTTTCAGGTAGTAAGAAAGAACTGAATGAAAATTTTTGTCTTAGGATTCTGCTCCAAACCTGCCAAATCTATGAATGTCCAAGTATTTTCTTGTTCTATTGTGACTGACTCAGCATTAACTACTGCTTAAACCCATGTTTGACTTCTGCTATATTTCACCAATCACCAATAATATTTTTAATCAGCTTATTACTTAAAAGAACTTCTAAAAGCAGATTCAGATAAAAATTATGAAGATCATTAGTTCTAGAACAGGATGAAAATAGGAATTTAAGGGTGTTTTCAGTGGTTTCAGCAAAATGCAACATCTATTATTTTTCATGCAAACTATTTCAGTGCAATGTTTTCTTCAGGACAAATCATTAAGACAAAAATATCATCTCATAATTTGTTTGTCATGCAATGGTCACATCATGGCAACTCATTTCCCTCTTTTTTTTTTTTTTTTCTGGGATCCATGCCAAGTGCTAAGCCAGAAAACCTTGCTATATTAATTATGAAGAAAAAGCATGTTTTATTAAAAACTAGCCTGCTGAATATTCTGTCGTGCTGCTTTTCAGTGACAGCAGAATTGCTTTTGCATTTTAGCAATGTTAATGAATTTTCAGGGGTGGAGGGAGATGTACTCTACATTTTCCATAGCAATTTTTAAGGCAAAGTCAGATTAGGACTGTCAAAGCATTGAATCAATCTAACACCTAGGACTAGTTAGAAAAAAATCTGGGCAAGACTTCATGTTGTCTAAGACTGGCACCACATCTTCCTAACTGAGCATGAATTAACACTGCCAGATTCATGATGAACTTATTTGTACTAGATGGTGATCCCACAAAGTCTGTACAACTGGCATTTAAGTACCCTAGAGCTGATCCCCTCAGTAAGATGCTACCTGTACTACTGGATCAGTTGTGACATGGCTCCTAACGCACTATTAATAATTACTCTGTTGGGTTGTGAAAATCACTGATCTCAAATTCTAGACTTCTTAAAAAAATCTATGCCCCATTAAACCCCCTCACTATATATTTTTCCCAAATAATTCAAATTAAATAGGACAACATCTGAATTTTTGCAATGCATGTCAGCAAATATGAACCTGCACAAGTAGGAAAAGTCACTAAGAAAGCAGATGTTTAAAAGAACTTCAGATTCCTTCATGAGAAAGTCTACTTGATTGCTTGGAAGAACAAAAGAAATTTTTTTAAAAGTGACTTTTAACTTTCCTTTGATTACAAGTCATTCTTCCAGTCTTCTTTAAAGAGGAGATGAATAGATGTAGAAAAGTATATCAAGCTCTGCCAGAGCAGAGCTCTGGTCACCCCTAGCTGTGTTGAATATTTTGCCATTAACCTTCCTCCCACATTAGCGACAACCATAATTCAGTCATTCAAAACATGTGGGTGGGGGAATTTTTACCTTTTACAGAAGAGTTTGCAGAACTGCCAAGGCAGGGTCTACCTGACCTGTTTAATCCGATATTTAGTCCATTCAGAATGAAGACTGGAAATTAGGAAGAAAGTAGTTACAGTGAGGGTGGTGAGTCACGGGCATAGGTTGCCCAGGGAGATGGTGGATGCCCCATCCATGGAAATACACATGGCCAGGCTGCATGGAGCTCTGAGCAACCTGGTCTAGTGGAAGATGTCCCTGTCCATGGCAAAGGGGATGATCTTTAAGGTGCCTTACAACCCAAAACATTCTACATTTTTAAGATGAGTTGCCCATGCTGCAGCCCAGGGTTTTGGGGCATTTCTTGGTGCCCAGGGCTAGGAGAAGGACCATGCTCCCCACCACAGACCACTGGGAGTGGTGTGGTCACTCAGTGTACCCAGAAGAACCATTCCTTGACTCTGTAGATGTCTGCTTCAAAAAAACCCCATGGGGCTTCCCTCTTATGTTGCATTAACTTGGTCGCTTCAGTGGCTTGAAATATAGATACAGCAGAGCTGGCACGTGGAAAAAAAAAGGAGAATAACAACATACTCACGCCCAAACATGTAGTTCCTAGGAGAATAACCAGTGGAAGAACCTGAAGTGTCAAAGCAATGTTAACCATCCTTGTTTTTTTCTTGAAATTTGCTTTTTCTTCTTGCCTATGTATTTTCAGACAAGCCACAATCTTTTGAGGTCGAGCTAATTCAGTGCAAATAATTAACCGTGCTTCAAATATTGTTTAATGTTCAACAGATTGCCTTGATCAAATAAATGCATCCTATCCAGATAATCACTGCATTGACAATTGGCAAATGTTTCAAATCAGTAAATAACAAGGATAGGAACAGTATAAATTAACAACAAAAACAAGCATTTACCTTATTATTATTAGAATAATCTTTCAACTACTATTTTAAATTGAAAAAAAACTATGAATCATACTTACTTCTCTCCCACCTGAAAACCAGTAAGATTGTTACATAATATATGATTTTTAAAAGTATCAAAGTATGTTATTTGATTATTTTCTAAATCTCAGACATGAATTAGAGTTCATGTTTTCAAGCTTTTTTCCACTAATGTGAGAACCAGCATTTATTTTTTTTTTAATAAAGAATCTAAATTCTTGAGTTACCTCTATTCTCCTGAGGCTGAAGCATTTGTAACAACAGTAGCAACTCAGGAAATCAGAATACTTCTGCAAGAATAAACACTCTCTGTGGAGGAAATGCTGACAAACTTTCTCTTAACAGATATTGTTTGTGTTGCATGTTACAAGAACAAATGGAGTGACCATTCTTTCTCTGAAACAGTTTAGAACCTGCAAAGGACGAAGGTGATAGAAATAGTGTCCACATGCTGAAATATGAGGAAGAAAACAGTGAAATCCCAAGGGCTTCAAAATTTCCCATCCTGAATGTGATTTTGTGGTGAAAAAGACTGTTGTGAGCACTTGATGTATAGTGATAGGTGTTGAAATTTAGATGCCAGAGAACCTTGTTTCTGGTGATTCCTTACCCTGGAGCACAAACATTCCTAAAGGAGATTTCATACACCAAAAAATACACAAAGAATTTTGGTATCCTGACTATTCCACATGTGCATACCTTAGGCAGGTGTCTACAAGTAACATGTGTTTGAGACAGTATGTTGGTGGCCAGCCACAAATACAAGTTTATGAAATTCCAGATTCTTTAACTAGTTAGGAAGACAGCAAGATAAAAGGAGTTAGATAACACGACTTTATGTAATGTGTCCTTGAGTAAGCTGATTTGCACTGAATTTTAATAGAGCCCTGATTCATCAAATCTCAAACAGAATTAAGGTATGGACTGGATCCTAATAACATCATGCTTTATATCCATGAAAGATAAATTAAAGGATGCAAAACTGCTATTGACAAACATTGATTATATGTACTTTGATGGACTTTGAAGTTGTGCCAGATGCGTCTTGTCAGCCTCCGAAGTTTTCTTTTAAATCTCATTGCATAAGGCTTTTACTTTTTAATTATTTTTCCCCTCAGCCTCTTTGATCAAGAAAAAATGTAGATCATATTTGTGTGATGCTATTTCCTATGCATTTTATTTAGATATGCCCTTGTGCACAGCTCATGATATGTAAAAAAATGTTACATGGCACCTAGTGATCTTACCCTGCTATCCTGGGTGCTATTTAATACTCAATTGACCTTCTTGAGCTGCTGAGTGAAATTGTGCCATGTGCAGAGAGCTAGCACAATGCTCATGGTCCTTTTATACCACAAAAATCTATATAATTTGATGCAAGATAGAATATTGCTGGTGTAGTGCAGGACTTAAATATAGGTGTTCTTGTTTTTTTGGGAATTGACTATTCCCTGCATCTCCAAGCCCATCTTAGTGATCATGGTTTGCACATCAGACATGAAGTATTTCTCCATGACAATTTAGGTGTCTTCCAACAATAAACATGGAGGAAAAGAAAAAGATAAAAACCATCAAATCCTTTTAAATTGAGAATAAATAGATGAAAACAAAAGTTTGGAGTACTGGATCAGGACTGTGGTGGGTTGGGGGTTTTCTGCTTCACTATTGATATTGCCTTGAACAAATCATTTCTCTCAGTACTCCATCATTCCCATCACAAGAGTGTAGCTAGTAACTACTCAATTTTCACTATGTCCTGTCTGTTTAGATCATAAACTCTTCTAGCTCACTATTTTTTCCTGTATTAATGAGCAGCTCCAGGCAAAAGGCATGCCCTGTCCTAGCTGTGATTTCTACAAAGGAAGGAAAAAATAACCTAAAAGACTGTAGTCTCAAATGATTTATTTGGAATTAGTACTGATTATTATACTCTGTAATGCTTGAGCAGTTTTGGTTGCCAGAATAAACAGCAGAAACATTACTTTGTCTTTTTTTTCCCCCTAAAATGGGAATTTCCACTGAAAAAATATTACTCTTGGATATTTTTCTGCCACTGTACAGATCATTTGAATTCTGATTCTGGAAAGCATTTCAAACCCTTCCTGGCTGATAACTCTTCTCCATTCTCCAACACAAATGAATATTCTGTGCTGGATCTACCTCTATGTGTCTGGTGTACATGGATTATCATGCTGTTAGATGTACCAACTGCAGAACTAGTTATTAACACCAGAATAAACAAATCACCACAGCTGTGAGAGGAGAGAAAATTCCAAAGATAAAAGCAAGATGAAAACATCTACTATAGGAATTTAACAAAAGCAGAAGTTCTAGATACACTAACTGACATCAGCCCACAGGAGCACAAGCCAGGCCCTTCAAGGGTAAGAACATCTCTCCTCAGAGTCAACAGCAATGCCATGGAATATGCATGGATGCTTTGACTTTGGTCTTTTACACTGCTACCATTTTGTGGTTTTCTTTAATTAACCTAATAACTCAAAAGCCCTACATATGTTCATGCTTCCTATTTACTGTTCCCTCCATTTCCATTAAATACAAGCCCTTTTCAAGCTGCAAATGAAAATGAGAAAGCAGAAGCCCTATTATTCCTCTTTGTACAGAAGGACTGGAATTGAGAGAGAGTATGGGGAATTGACTTTTATTATAAAATCTGGAAAGTGGAGGAGGGGTATTCTCTATGAGAAATTCATCTTGGTGCAGAAAGCCAGCATGAGGTCTAGACATCCCTTAAATCAACATTTAAAGTGTTGTGGTTGCTTCATAATTCTCTCTAGCAGCACATTCCCAGTGATGGTTTCATTTCTTGAGCTCAGATCAAAAGCACAGTTAAAAATTTCAAGACAATCACACAAACAAAAATCAGAGTGAGTGCAGGCAGCAGAAAGTTCTGTTGGACATGCAAGAGGGCTCTTCCCTCATCCATTCTGCTGTAACCCAGAAGTAATTCATCAAAGGTTTTATGCTAGCTCAAAGCTGGTGCAAAAAGCTGAGCTGGTTGGAGAGAGAGAGACAATCCCACCCCAGGGATGCACACCAGGACCAGCTGCCTCTCTCTGACACTGGTTTGGTACCAAACTTTTCCTCTGAAGCTGCATAAACACCACCTTGAAGAACAACCTGCCACAGTGGAGCTTTGTCCACATGCTCAAAGACTGACAGACACCCGACTAAAAGATTTCCTATCCACTTCTGGCCTCTTGGGTGTTCTTTTAAATCTTTCCTAGAACAGCTCCAGATATTCTTGTTAGCTGTGCTGCTTTCTGAGCCCATTTCTGTGTCTTGGAGCTGCCTGCTAAAAGCATTAAAATTGTAAAGTGGTGGATGAAGGAAGACAGTTTTGCTTTCAAGCTGGAAAACATGCATCAAAGCCCCTGTAGTAAATTTACAGAGTATTAAAAACAAACAAAATCTGACCGTAGGGTAACATCATTTTAGGAAAGATGCGATGGCCTACCTCAAAGTCTGCATTTAATGTGCACAGCACTCACTTAACCTGCCTAGGCTATAAATCCCAGGGGCCAAATTCCGTCCAACCATTCTAAAAAAAGAGATATTTTTAGACTGCAAAGGTAGAGCTAATATAGTCTCTCTGCTCCAGTTACCAAGCACCTCCTCCACAGGCCCCATTGGTCGTTCTCCGGGCGAAGTGAAGAGCAGGAATGTTAATCCGAAGGAACTTGTACAAGCAAAAAACTTAATAAAATAGGACCCCCATGCATGCTATTTTGCATGCATTTAGAGGCAATCACAAATTAAACCTGAGTTTTAAAAAAACCCAAGACATGCTTCCAATTTACGTCATTATATAATAATTACTGAAATTTTTTTAATAATTTTTTTTTTCCATTTGCTGTAGCGTTGTTACTTTAAAGAGGAGTCACACATTTTTCATCCAGTCATTTGTTTTCAGGAAAGGAATCCAACAGACAATCATACAGTAATACACATAATAAATATCTGTGAATTCTTTGGCAGAATAATTTAATATGCTGTTCAATGAATTGTCTGAATGACTGAAATAACAGAGACAAGTAACTTCAGGTGCAAAGATGCACAAGTGTTATGAGCACAGCTACGCAGTTCTGACAGAGCCAAAGAATTTTCCTTAAGAACTGATATTTAATTCTCCTAAAATGTTTAGATTTCCTTGTGCTGCACACTAAATAAGTATATGAAGCAATTTTAAATTTTCATATATTGTTTAATGGTCATTAGTGCATATTCATGGTTATAGTGCAGAATTATTCATCTGAATGGCCAGCTGAAAAGTTGTACCTGGTGGTAGACCCTGCCTTAGCTTCTTGTTCTCCTTGTGGAGGTGGTGACATGAGTAGCCTTATGTCCTGTTTATCTTGGTTTCGTGTTCAACTTGGCTGGCCTGCTGTGATAAGCAGGGCCAATTTGGTTGAGCTTAAAGATGATGATTAATTTCAAGCTCAGCTTCCCCAGGTTACAATTCCTCTTCTTGTTCCCTCATCTCAGATCTATACTTTGACCTGAATTTTTTTTCTGAAAAGCTATTTTTTTTCTGTAGACACTGATCCAGTATTCAAGCTCATTTTTAACATAGTTGGAGTCAAACAAGTTATTTTTTTTTAATTTAAGATTCTGAATCTTGTAACAGAAAAACAGAAACAGCACAGCATTGTTTGCACTTTTCTCTGGGTAGCAGTGGCAACCACAAGTAAAACTGATCATGGTTTTTATCAGACTTTCTCAGATGAGTAAGTTGTCTCTTGAGCAGCAATGCTAC